TTCCGCGACCAAGTTCATCGATGATGATCAAGGACTCCGAGGTCGCGGACTTGAGGATGTTTGAGGTTTCAAGCATCTCGGCCATGAAAGTCGACACACCCTTGAGCTGCGAGTCACTCGCACCAACACGAGCAAGGATACAGTCGAATATAGTCAGCTCCGCCTCGGAGCAGGGGACGAAACAGCCCGTCTGAGCCATCAGCGCAACGACGCCAATCTGTCGGATATAGGTCGATTTACCACCCATGTTGGGACCGGTAATGATTAGGAAGGAAGACTCATCACGAATGAGCGACACGTCGTTGGTGATGAATGAAATATCATCCTGCATTTCCATGCAGGGATGCCGCGCCTCCTTCAGAATCGTGTTTCCAGTACCGCGCGGGTGAATTTTGGGGCGGACATAGGGCGTAGGGGCGTGTACTGCACAATGCGCGAAGCTCACAATAACATCGAGATGAGCTAGAATGCCAGCAAGCTGCTCCAGGACAGGGCAGTAGGAAGCAGCTACACCAACAACCTCGCTAACCAGACCAGTCTGGGTGCGGTTGTAGTTGGAAGACAGCTGATCATGTTCGCGACGGAGCGTTTGCATTGTCGAAGTCGTAAAGTAGACACCGTTCTTCTGGGTTGAGCACTCCTGGTACTCTCTCTTGTTGCGGATACAGCCTGCCTCGTTGCGAGTCAGTCGGAAGCACCAGCCATGCACACGATGGTTCTCCAGGAACAGCTTCTTGTCGACTTCTTGGTCCAGATCCCGGCCCACGCGACGGTGTTCCGAGTCCATATCGTGACGCAGCTTATCCAACTTCTTGCGAATGATGCGCAAGCTCTCGTCGAACTCCGGCTTGATAATGAACTCGTGGTTCTCCAACGCATCTAAGTCCACCGTCGTCTCAACCATCTCCTCCAGCTTTGCCAAGTTATCCGAATGGCTGCGCAGCTTAGACGTATACTCCGCCTCCAGAGGAGTCTGATACTGCTCATCCATCACATTCTCCAGCGACGCAACAAAGCCCGGCAGGCGAATGGCGACTTGATACACACGCACGACATCCTCCAATGTCGCCTGTTTCCTCTGGAATCGCTTCGCCAAGCGATACAAATCCGGGATCGAGCGCAGATGCTCCTCCTGCATCGTCTGCCGAAGCTCCGTGTCCATCACAAACGACTCCACCAGCTGCTGTCTCTTCTCAATCTCAGCCTTATCCATCAACGGCTGCTTCAACCACTGCGCCAGCAACCTGCTTCCTACCGGCGTCTTACAATGATTCAGCAACCCGAACAGACTCATCGACTTAGATCCGTCCCGCGGACCCGGCATGAGATTCAAAGCCCGCAGCGCCGACGAATCCAGCTTCATGAACTGCGACAAATCATGCTGATACAGACGATACTGACCGAAGTTGGACGGATCCGTCATAACGCCGAGATACTTTATCAGCGCCGCCGCGGAACCCATCGCCAACTTCAGCTCAGTCTGCGGCAGCGTCCCCGCAGACCTCTCATCCCTCAACAACCTCGTCAAATCCTGCTCGATATCTCTGACCCCAAAGTCACCACTCTGCCTCTCCGACACTGCAATCCCACAACTGTCCATAATATTCCTCACCTTCCCCAGCTCCACATCCTTCCTCCCGGCATCCATCTGCACAAGACACTCCTTCACTCCCAACTGAATCACCAACGACTCCAGATTCGAATAGACATCATTATCCAAGAACTCACTCACACCAAGCTCCCTAACACTCGCATCCGCAAAACAAACCCCCACACTCCTCGCCTCCCCGGCCTTCGCAGATATCTTCACAGCCAGAATGATCGGCGCCCCGGCCTCAATATTCAATCCACCCACACTCCCCAATTCCTCTTCCACATCCTGCAAGTTTCCGGGACTAGCCTGCTTAATGAGTTTCCACTGTCCGCCGCGCCCGCTCGCAGAGCCCCAGATCTCCACTCGCCGATTGAGTCGAAATAGCGCCTCGCGAAGAAAATTGCGGAATACAGTCACACTCATCGTCACGGAGGGCAGGCCGCCTGTGTCGCTCCGGCCGAGGTTGCGGATCACAGAGGTGGTTTTGTAAACGGTGCGAGCGATGAACTCGGCTTCGGCGCCGTGGGCGGAGTACCAGTCTCCGCGGTCGAAAACTCGAATTGTCTCATTGTTGTTGTCATTGTCGGAGGAGGAGGAAATGGAGCGGTAGAAGCGGATGAAGCCGACTTCGTCGTCCACCTAGATAGTACGATTGGTTCAATGTCAGCCAGTTTCTCTTTTCAAAATTTCTTAGAGCAGATGGAGCTTACCTTAAGATCTGGTCGAGAAGACATGATGCTATAGTCTATCTCCAACGAGGAAAGAGACTTGTGCGCCTGCTTGTCGGTCGTTGGAGGTATGGGCTCAAAGCTAAGCTGCGGATAGTTGATAGTTGATAGGTATGGCCGCCGACGCGCTGCGGGAAACGCGGTCACGTGTAAACGCGTCCGCGCGCCGGGTTAATTAAGGGATCTGCTGCCTGAGGTATGGACATGAAGACGGGGAAGAAGAAGACACTTGGATATACGGATAGGAAAAGCACAGAGTCATAGTCTTATAAGTTGTTTTTGTACTATCATTACATACATATGCTAATGCTACATACCGCTGACAATGCAATCATAATGCCGGAGGCATACCAGGCCACCCGGATGAGGTATCAAACAGAACATCCATCCAAACGAAAGACACAGGTGTATCCAACGTAACCATATCAAGCAGCAGAAGCAACAGTCTTCTGCGCCTCAGACCCTTCCCATCCAAGCTTCAACTGGGCCACCTTGGCTCCAATCTCCTTGGGCTGGACATCCGCACATGACTTAAGAACCACAGACTTCATCTGATTCACCGTGACGAGATTCACCCACCCCCCGGCAACATCCTCCCGGGCCAGAATCTCCAAACAAATCTCCACCTCCTGCTGGGAAATCGGACTCCGCACAGAATCCCGGACGTGCTGCGCAATCATCTCGATCCGGAACGGCGTCCGCTGCGCAGCCATCACGGCCTTCGCTCCGGTCCCGACATACCCAGCAGGTCTGAGCAGCGCCAAAACCCCCGCGACCTCCTCCACGCGCTCCGCAGCTGCCCTCCTTAGCAGCTCCTGCTTCGACGGCGGCGGCGGCAATGTCGCCTGTCGCAGCTGCTTATCCTTTATGCGCTCCAGCAGTCCCTTCCGGCGCGTACTTGCCGCATCGATCGGTTTCTCTGGCACATCTTCCTTCCCATCCGCACGTAACTTCTCCGTCTTCAGTCGAATCACTCCGCCCCTCAAGTCCTGCAACCGTTGCTGTCCCTTCCGGAACGTGGTGAACGGTGTCAACGACTCTTGGATCGTCGCAACGCCCAGCGTGTTGACGAAGTTCACCCTCGATTCGTCTCCGTCCACCGCATCCAATGCCTTCTCCCAGAGCAGATCTACGCTCTGCTCAAACCGCTCCTGCAATTCATTCTCGCTCGTCCGCTCCTCGCCATCCCGTACAATTCGCTCCAAGCACACCCTTCCCAGCCCATAATTCGCGATCCGATATCCGGGAAACGCTGTCGATGATGGCTCCTGGTCCAGAATCCAAATGAGTCGTTGCAGATCCTTGATTACCACCTTCCGCTTCTTCCAGAGTCGTTCAATGGTAGGGAGCAGTTCTCTCAGGTCGGCAGGGGCAGTAACACCATTGTGCATAGCATGAAGCGCAACAGCCTTCAGGAACGCTCCATGCAGGTTTACGAGATCCTCCACACATGCTGCACGACGACTCACAGGAGCTGGCTTTGTGGTTGTCTTCCTAGCACCTGTGCGTTTCGAGGGGGTACTCGGCGGCTGCTCAGGAACAGCAGTAGCAGCCGAGCCGCTCCTCCTCACTGACACCGAAGACCGTGCATAATGTCCACTTCTAGGCGTATTCAAAGTCAATTCTCCCAATCGGAGAGACTTGGAAGGCGTGACTGCATCCGTGCTTTCCGTTCCCTGGGGCCCCCGGCAGTCGACGTTTTCGAGCTCGACCAGTTTGCGTTTCTTGGAAGGCGTGACCGGGACATTCGTTGTTGTCGTAGCGGGCTTCTTAATATCTGATAAGGAGGAAGGAGCTACAACGCCGGGCTTAGTTGCTCTTGCGAAGCTCTGGATGCCCGGTTGCTGCTGCTGTTGCAGGCCTCGGGCTGCCTGCCTTGTGGAATAAGTGCGCGGCATCGCGGTTTCCGATTGTTAAAGTGAGGAAATTAAGGGATAGAAATCCTATTGGCGTATCATAGAGTAATTATTAGACAATTAGACCCTTAAGATAAGATAGGATAAAAGTAGTAGTGGTGTATGTATGGAAAGTCTGGGGAAGAGAGGAAGAAGATAATATGAGTGTTAGAGAAAATCCACTAAAACGGGGAATGATTATTCTTTTTTCTTTAAGGGATGGGACAAATGGATGGGTAATAGCGGGTAGCGTGGATTCTAGGTGGAGTTCACGCGCGACGCGATCAAGGCGCGTCTGGTGTCTTTGGCGTATCCGTGTTGGCCGGAAAGGGTAGTATTAGTTTTGAGTTGGAACTTTAGCTGCGGGTCATGACCACATTGACTTTTGATAAATGCAGAAAGGAAATTATATCATTGATTCACTCGAGAGAGATTGTTGTTCTCTCAATATAAGCCATACTTCCTTGGTCATATATGAATAAAATGTTGATATTCCTCACTGTTCCTAGAGCAATAATCAGTCTCGGAATGCAGCATACCGTAGCCCCCCTCTCCTCCCCGCACTGTAGTCTAGACTAAGTGCTGCAGATTGGGGACGGAGGTATGCTCTAGAACGCTGCTTTCCTTGTCACTCTCTCTCCACTATTTTTGCACTTTGGTTGGGTAGTTGGCTAGACCGTAGTCATCTATCTAACCTTACTAAGTCCCATAACTCTGGCTCCGCACACTACGTAACTTTTTTCACTAATACAGACACTAATATCCAGACAGAGAGAAGGGGATAGATAAATGCATCATTCATTAACATAACACCATCACCTTAACCCAGATATACGTAGATAAGTACACAAACAACATATCCAGACAAGACGCAACTCGTCATTCTTATCATCACAATAATTATAAAAGTAGATGAACGATGCATATTAAAACAGCATCAGCATCAGCATCATCATAAAGCCCAGCCCAGCTAAGCTCTCATTTTCCAATCAACCACCTCCCTCCTCCTCCTCCTCATCATCATCATCATCATCAAGCATATAAATCACTTCCAAGAGGCTGTAAGATTATTATTTCTTCCCCCCAAACCACCCCGACACGGCCCCCTTCGCCTCCGCCGCCTTCTCCTCCACCTTACCCTCCAACTTCTCTGCTCCTGAGCGCAACTCAGCCGTCTTGTCGCGACCAATTTTCTCCAGACGGTTCATGCTATCTTTGGCGTCTTTGCTGGCGGTGTCGATCTATCATCATCACACAATATCATTAGCATCCATCGTTCTCACACCATGAAGTAAACAGTATAGGAAAGAGAAGAAGGGTATGACATACCGCCTCATCAACATTCAACCGTGCCTCATACGCTGCCTTTTCACCTGCCTTCTCGGCTTGATCGCCTGTGGGTGCCTTGAGACGGGCGAGGTGGGCGTCATCTATATTATACCATCGAACATACAGCATTAGCAAACAACACCAATCAACATAATCACAATACAAGGAATGAATAAAGGGAGAAGCATACGTCTCATCTCCTCCTTCGCAACCTTCGGATCGCCTCCAGCGCGGTACATGTAATAGCCACCGGCGCCGAGGGCAGCAATGCCGAGGTAGAGAGCGGTAGGGTTCTTCGACATGGTGGATGTATGTATATGTATGATCTTCTTGAGGTATAGACAATTCGAATGGAATGCTTGTTATTGTTGTTCGCAGCTTGAATGAAATCCGGTACAGGAGGGAGACAACAGACAGGTACTTATAGATTGTAGATGAGTTGAAGTTGGAAATGAACCTTTGGTTGTTAGGCTGGGCAGAGAGAGAAAGAAAGTAATGAGTGCAGTGGCTAACTACTAGGCAAGTGTCACAGGGTATGACGTCTTTGGGGGGTTAGGGTCCGGCTTCGGTCTTCTTCTCCTCTTGTCGGGTGGTGCAGTCGGTTCTTTTTTGTTTTCTTGTTTGTTTTACTTATGAATTATTAGGTGTCTTTGCTTGTGCGAATCAGATGATTGGGTACTTTATTTTATTGTAGAGGTTTGTAAGTCGATTATTTATCCCATATATTGTCTCTGTAGTAGAGGTATTTGCAAACAGCTACAGAGCTATGCTGGTCCGGCGCGGCGAGGATCGGCTGCGGGACCGACACTACGTCACTGCAAGGTCATCGGGTGCAACGGCTTCCATGACCCAGCTCTGCTTGCTTCTGACACAAGTACTAACGAAGGACATGGGGTAGATGTTGCTGGAGTGGGCTGGTGTAAATCGAACACGTCATGATGGGGCTGTTTGTTATCTACTTCATGTTGACTATGTAGTAGTTACCCACCAGTTACAAAGTACAACTGGAATGGAATTGAATCTCTGACATTTATCACTTTACCCGCAGCTGGTTGCTAATTGAATCCTCACTGTCGCAGAAAAAAAAAAGACACATATAATGAAATACACAGAGGGCCACACTTGGACACCATAAGGAGAGCGCAATGGATAGATATAGACAGAAGCCGAACACACAATCGAAGCCACACCACGACCAGAGTAGGAAACTCCTTCCATAACCTCGTAGCTGAGCTCGAGATCAAGGCCGGGGGGTATCTTCATGCACTATGGACAGCAGACCGGAGGTGATGAGAACGCCAAAACATGCAACCGGACAAGAAAACCAAAAGACAAAAAGAAAAGAAAACACCCGAACGAAGACACAGCAATTGTCAGAGAAGCCCATATATCGATCCAACCCACTGATGCATTATTCGTCAGTCATCACATCATAAAGATTCCCGCAGCCGAGCGGTGGTGTGCAGCTCCGAGTAACGAGAGGCTAAAGTATCTAGCAATCCGCAGTTATATCAAGAACAAAGAAAATGTAGAGGATCCCCCAGAAAGAAAAAGACCGGGCGCCCCGTACTATACAACTCCGGCTCGAAACAAAAGAGGAAATGGCGGGAAAACCGAGAAAGATCGACTTCGGAATTGAAACCACTCAAACCCCCTGCTCGCAGAGGACATCCAACATGTTCACACCAAGACTTCTTCACAGGAACAGCTTCGCTGCGCTTTTGTTCTCACTCGTGGCAACGGCAACCAGTGCCTCCAGCCGACCCATTCCAGGCTCTCGGGCGGTGTGGGGTAGGAATTCGGACCGTGGATCATGTTTGCCGTGATAGCTATCAGTCTGTGGGGGAAGCGGGGGACAGGCCTGCAGTTCAATCAGTGATTTGGCCCTCAGCGATACTCCGGGTAACGGGTGCGTACTGCATGAGAAGTATCGGATGAAAACGGGGGGTGGTGCGGCTCCACATAGCCATTGTTGTGCACAATGGCGGGATGGTATTCCAGGGACGCCGTTGAGGGAGTATGTACCCCTTCACTGCTACTGGAGTCCTCAGGCGAAGTTCGCGTGGCCTGAGAGCTCGAGGTAGCATTGCTGTAGGAAGGAGCATGCCCATGTCCTCGGTAATCGTGGAACTGTGGTTGGTACGAAGACGAGGGGCGAGATCCCACATTGTGAATCTCTGCAATGGTCTGCTGGCTCCAGTTCGATGCGTCCCGCTGTGGAGGCTTGTCTCTGATGTGCAGGCCAGTGAGGTTCGTGTGCAATGACATGTCCCAAGAGACATGGCCCCGTCGGTGACCAGGGCCAGAGATTGGCGGTGCCGGTCGTTTAGCGGGCTGTATGTAGTTGTAGCCCCCGGCAAGGTTATAATTCGGAGGTTTGTTGGGGTTGTCGATTTGCATCGGACTCGACCGCCGAACGGGCGGTGTCAAGGGCCTTTGAGCCACCACCTTATCAAAGCTCTCAATTCCAGGCAGCCGCGGTGGCTGCTCTGTTGATCCATTGGCGCCTAAAGATGGCTTAAACACTTCTGGCGTCTGATAGTTGCTAAGACCGCTTGTAGCAGGCCGAGGGACCGTAGACCAAGTCGAAGGATGCCAAGTTCTTCTCCGGAGATCAGCGTCGGTAGCACCGTGGTTTGTTTCGTCGCGGGAGAGTGAGTAGGACGAGCTGACAGGGCTCGCATAGACGCCTCCATGAGGAGCATACGCTTGCGTCGGAACGTAGTTCGGCGGGTAGGCATTGACGTGTTGCGATGCGAACGGGTTCGCACCCGTAGGAACGGAGAGACGGCGGGCGGCAGTTTTGCCTTCCCAGAAGCCCGAGGCCTGTGATGCCGTAGAGATGGGGGAAGCCACGTGCGGGCTGCCGTTGCCGCCCGCTGAGAAGATGTGGTGAGACGGCGTGTAGGGAGATCCGCCGGCTGTTGGACCGGGTATTCCGCGGGCAGGTGGCGTGCTAGGGGCGTCCATCGGCTCCATCAGACGCGCCCTATCATTCGCCATCATCAAGGGTGGAGGTCGGCGACGAAGCTCCTGGGGCTGACTGAAGGTGGACGCAGTTGAGGTAATGCTCGAGGCAGATAGGTTTCGACTGTGACCTCTGCTATGGGTTCCCTGACTGCCCGCGGTTCCTGCTCTAGCTCGACCTTGGGGTCGTACACGGTCTGTCCGGATCTGGCGCTGGAATCGTGTTCCAGTGGCTGCAAGAGAGTCTCCAGGAATTTCCTCGTTGACGTGCACCGTCTGAGCATGCTGTCGCAGATTATCGAGACGGGAAAAGCGACGTGAACAGTGACACTGAAACGGACGTTCTCCGGTATGCTTGCGGATATGTCGAGCGAGATGTTCACTTCTTGTAAAACTCAGATTACACGGTGGGAAGTCTGTGCAATAGAATCGTTGACCCTTCTTCTTTTTCGAAGGTGGAGCGCCACCCTTATTTTCCGCCTCATGTTCAGATCCTTCATCCGACTCACCGTGTACAGCATCCTCTGAGGTCAGCGATGCACTCCCCTGGGAGTCGGCATGGTGATGTGAGTCTTCGATGCTATTTATGTTCCGAGGCGTGCTCTCGTCGTGGGCAGCGATCATGGACGATGTCGTATCTTGGGGCGCCGCGCCGGGCTTGGCGTGAGGGCGAGGTGTGGAAGATGTTGTCGCCTCCTCCATGACGCGGTCTGGCGGCGATGAAATATTATTCACAGGTGAAAATGAAGACATATTGACAGCGAGGGCAGCCCTCGACTCCACCGAGTAGTCTATGTACTGTTCCGAAAACCGGACAGGCGAGCGATCGACGGAATGCGAGCTCGAGCCGTTTCAAGGGTGAAAGATGGAGGTTTCAAGATGTCAAAAACGCGGTGTCGATCGCACGATGCTGACTACTGGATAAATGTGCGCAGCAATGTAAGCAAATGAACCATCGTGTTTAAACATAATTCCCGTTGTGTGAATAAATTTTACCACCTCAAAGAAGGCGTAAACATTACCAGCAAGGGAGTAGTGAGGGGGAATCTTTGTGGTTTCTGGTATCGGGCGAACGAGGAGGGGGAGGAAAAAAAAGAATTTTGGAAAACTTACGAAGGAGGGGAGGTAACTCAAGGTGTTTTGAAATCCGAGCGAGGGGTTGAAAAGTGAGGAATGTTGGAGACAAATGGCGATGACCTGTTTAGCCGAATGCCCGACGAAGATGGCGAAGCAAGGGTAGCCAGGTTGTACACGATAGATGGAAGGGCACGACCATTAGGTGTGAGGACGCATCGCTCACAGATCGACCTGGCCGAGAGGGGGAAGGGACAGCTGGTTGATCGACCGACAGATAAGTCTGGTGGACTGAACGGGCAGAAGGATACGATGACGGAGAAGGGAGGGAGGTGAGGTTTCAGGCAGGTGTATCGGTGATCACTAATAGGAAAAGAGGCGGCGGCGGCGACGGAGGATGAGGACGTGGTAGTTGGAGGTGGTCAGCGGTGGTTGTTGTTTGGAGAGATTTGGCGGACTCGATCGAGTTTCCCGCCGACGTCGAGTCCTGGTTGTGGGTATGACAGTCAGGACACCGACCCAGCCAAGACCTGAACTAATGGCAATAAAAATAGGTGTATCGCGAACCGATCGGGCCCCTGGTTTACGGATCGTCCGGGGAGAAACCAGGCATGCGCAACGGAAACAATAAACGGAGAAGTCAAATGAAAATAGAACAGGATGAAAAAAAGAAAGAAAAACAACAACAACCGAAATCAGAAACTAAAATGTGATATGGATTGCCACAAAAAATCAAAAATTGTATGAATCATATAAATAGTATAGGGACGAAACCAACCAGGTCCAAGCTAGGCTGGGCACTAGTAAGCGATGATGTACAGGCACCAGGGCCACGAGGGGCGGTGATGGATGGGAAGGATGAGGGGAGGGGGGAGGGAGATTTGTTGGAAAGGAAGGGAAAGGAAGGATGGGAAAGAATGGAAAGGGAAGAAGGATGGATGGTCAGAGGGTGAGACGGGAAAGTCAAGTAAGTAGGCGAAGAAAAAGAACAACAAGAGAGGAAGAGGAGGCTGATGGATCCCAAACTTTAGATTGGAGGGAAGGGAAGGGCGAGAGTCCATACAAGTAGTAGTAGTAGTACTAGTAGTGTGTAGCCTGTAACCAGGGTGAAGATGACGGCAACCCACCGACCCCAAACAGGTGAATGGTGACGACGATAGTGCCGGGCGTCAGGACCCCAGCCAGAAACACTTCAGGAGGAGATGGAGAAGCAACTGGAGGCTTATCGGAAACAACGGTCGATTCGGCAGCGGACGGCGAAACGAGTGGGCACAAAGAGGAAGAGTAGTGTAGTAGTGAATAGAGAGTAGATAGTGGTAGAAAGAGAAGAAAGAGGAGGTGAGAAGGGAGAAAGATGAAGAGAGAGGGAGAAGATCAGAAAGAGACGAAACAGGCGTCAAGAGGGGGGAAAACCGGTGGAGAGAGAAGAAGAGTACTAAGTAGTAAGTAGTAATGGTGGTAGATAATGGTAGCGGTAGTGGTAGTGATAAGTATAAAGTCGAATACTCATCCAGAAAGAGTAAGAATCCTTATTTTACTTAATATTTTTCTTCTCTTTTTCCCCCTTTGGGTACCAGACAAATTTACCCTACAAGAAAGAAAGGGAAAAAAAAACCACCATCTATTCAGACTACAAGGCTGAGTACCTTCGGTCGGGGGTACAGGGTACTTAGATAGAGAGCGGCGACTTGGCCAGTCACCGCCGCAATGCTACGTACGATCGTTGGAGAGGAACGGATAGCGCCTGAGTTTGCAGTTTGATCAACATGACGGTGACGATGCGGATTTGTCCTCTATAGAGTTCGGGCGAAAAATGAACTCACCGGGGGGTTGAGAGTGAAGGTTGATAGGTAAACTCTTTTAGCCCCAGGTACTGACGACTTGGTCCGGACCGATGGACACGAATCATCGATCGCAAGACCGGTGGAGATACTCCAGTTGGATGAATTCATGAGCCAGTCTCGCCGAGGGTTGGAGCCTTGGATTTGCCTGAACGATGGGAAGTTGGACTGTAGGATTCTGTTTCATCGAGTGGTCATCGGTCGGCAACCCCGGTTTTATCCCTTCCGACTCATCGCAGAGAAAAGAGACAAGAAAAGAGAGATACGATAATATCTACGAGGCAAAGTACCTGATACACCGATATGGCGAGATTGGAGGTATCCAGTATCCCAAGGAAGACAGAAAATGAGAGAGGATGGGCACACCGAATCAATACCGCTCGTACGCGCCGGTATGAACCCCGTATCAGGAACCCAGCGCTTAGCAATCGCCAGAGAAGGAAGCGGGCAACAAGATGGGCTGGCTTGCGAAGACCCTTCCCAAGGGTTTGGACACCTTCCCTCGAGAACACAAAACTAATTCGGATGAATGGGCTTCTTCGAGGTTGTTTCTCGGTAAGGCTGGCTAAATTGGCCCCAAAAGAAGTTCTCGGCCCAGGTCTGTCTGGAGCGGTGCCATGGTCGTCTGGATCAAGGGTCCTTCTTGGACAGTTCATATAACGGAGGAGGCCCGTCCAAGAAAAAGAGTGGTGAGTGGTGAGGCACCAGGCACTGCAGCCAGTGGGGCACCGCAGAGGGGGGCACCGATCGGCTACTTTTTCCCGGTGCCAGGGCTGCCCGTCAACTGGACGGATTATTGTTTGATGATTCATGAATCGTTCTTGCCAGACTGAGTCCAGGTGCTGACCAGAAATCCTCCGCGGATGGCCCACGGGCGGCGACTCTCGGTGACGTTAACCACTCAATGCTCCCTCGCCCCTTTGTCTGGTAAGTTTGACCGGTGACAAAACCCCCAGCCCAGATCTGCTCTTCTCTTCTTCGCCTTTGGTCTGTCCACCACCCAGACATCCGTTCGTGAGTTTGGAGGGGGAAAGGAAAAGGGCCTGAGCCAAATGTCGCAGTGCAGAGTGTGTGCCATGTCTCGTGGCGTGGCACAGAGCGGCGTTACCGGGCAATCCGGGGGTTCGAGAGGGGGAGAAGAGGGAAAGAATAGGGAAAGGAGGAAAAGTTGACTAATTGCCTAGATACACACATTGTGACTGACTGACTGCCTGCCTGCCTGCCAAACTAGACTCCATATAGACTAAACGGATTAAAGGTACATGAAGGTCCACCTTTCTTTCAGTGTGGACGGTATATTGTGAGATCTAGGCTGCAATGCTGCAGGAGAGGGGAGGCACAGGGTGCGACGACTGCGTAAGCCGGCCAACGCCTGACTGGATTATCAAACGGCCCAGGACAGCAGGATTCAGCATGGAATACGAACGGAATGTCGCACAATGGGTTCCGGGGCTTCCACACCTGCAGTTTGAGGTGGAATTCTCCGGGCCGAACGCTGCAGTACCTTACATCGGCCTCGTCACAAATTCATGTCCTCGTCGGTATACTACTGAGTAGATGTCTCGACATCTGAGTGTCATCTCACATTCAACGGCACACTCTATTTGAGACGCTCACTCCGTTTCATAATCCCCACCAAGGAAGATTAGCAGTATCGTCATGACAATGTCGATGTTAATAGCAGTGATATACGTCAGGCCTGAACTAACTGGCTGAAAGCTTGTTCCTGATTAACGAAGAGCGCAGCATTAACCCCCCCAGCAGGCTCCATCATGGCCGCGTTCAGGACATTGATAAGGTTCCTTCTTGAACTCAAGACCCCGGTGGACAATAGTAATTCAATTCATTTAGACTCTGGGGAAAACCTGGAGCAAAGTCAAAGTAGGGCACTCAGGTGTCTGCACGCATCTCCTCGCCAGCCTCTCTAGCACCTGCAAACGGCACGGGAGTCGATGGAAGCTTCTTCATCGCGTCTATGACCTCTGGTTGATGCGGGACAAAGAGGAGTCCATCTGGGGGTGCACGCGGACAGCTAACGCCACATGTTAGAGTGATGATGTGCTCCCCGGTATGGAGATTGGAGTCAAAAGCGCGCCGATTGACAGCAGCTTTCCCTGGAATCCCCATGCGCGGGGCTACTTAGCCTGAGCATGGAAGAGATAACCCAAGTAGGCGGAGCACCGTGCTTATAGGACGTCGGAGTATAGGCCTGCGAGCCTCGCAAAAGTTACTTTACCGTGGTGAGTAAAGATTGTGAACAATGCATTAGTGTCCCGCATTGGCCTTATTGATGGGATCGTGGGGTTTTTACAGTACTGTGTACACTTCTCTCCAGCCCAGATTGGCAGCCAATATCCAGCTATTTTGGAAACCCACACGCTGAACAGGCTATTCAACCTAAGCCGTGCTATACAACGACATATGTCATATGTCAGTATGAAGCAACCCGTCAGTTGCCCGATCCTGGATTAACCTAACTTCCACTCGGAAGGTAGCGGCACCAAGCTCTAGATGAATCAGTCCGGTCCCCCAGACCTTCAACTCCCAGCAGGATCGTAAAAACTAGCACCTCAAACCAAGTCCGATCTCGCCATCATTCCCAGGGTCGAACGGGAGGAGGGGTTGGAAACGCTCGTCTCGTAAAAAAGGGCGGGTAAGTTAGTTCCCCCCTCTAGCACTGCAGAGATCCGGTCTGGGTGATCGACGTGGCACTGCCAGTCTAGTAATCCACCAATGAACAGGTGCAAGAGCAGGTAAGGCACAGGAGCACGGGCGAACGCACAGGTAAAGGTACCACGCCTCCCCGACCAGCAGGCCCATTCATCATTGCACCACCACCATCTTTCTCCTCCATTTGCACTGGTTGCTTGCCCCTCATTTCCAAAACCTGATAAGCCCACCGGCACACGCGCGCGCCACTGAGGGGCAAAAAAGAGAGTCAATCAGGTTTAGTTTCCCCCTTTTGTGCCAAGATCATCTTTAGTGGCTACAATGTCCATCAAGGGGGAGCGGGAGGGAGACAAGAGGAGAAGCTCGTTGTAGTAAATGCTGAAGAGGGATAAAAGCGGGTGTGAGGGGATCCCGTAAGACAGGTTCAATCAATGATGATGATTGATGACAGGTGACACGGGTCTGTCCCATCCCTGTTGTATCTGAAACATCGATATCGGTGATGACGGGGACTGCCAGTGCATCCCTCGCCTCTCATCTATCTATTATTATTTCCTTTCCCTTTTCTTTTGGCCCTTCCCCTCCTTGCCGTCGGGTTCTTATCAATGGGAAAGCGGGGTTATGATAAGTAACTGTGTAGTCCAAGTGGGATGTCCCCGGAGCTAACGAGAAGAGGGGAGAGTACTTAGAAGAAAGGGAAGAAGAAGGGCGCGTGCACGGATGTACGTGTGTGTGTGTGCTACCCGCTGAGAGATGGAGTACAAAGCAGGTACCTGCGTTGCAAGAGAGGGGTGTACCTGGTAAGGTATTGTTGGGGTATCTACTACTACTACTACTACTACCTAGTACCTTATTGTTCGTTGAACATATACCATCTTCTTCGTATAGTAGTAGGTAAACAACATCCAAACCACTTGATAAATATATATAGTAAAATAAATAGAAATAAAAGACAATAAAATAAAGAAGATTAGGAATCCCATCAGCAACAAGCTAGTTATCCACCCAAACGCTTACGTATAAGACCATCAGATCACAGCGGGTCCTGGATCCAGAATGCTGACGTCTTACATTATGTGATTTTCTCTCTCTCTCTCTCTCTCTCTTTCTCCGGCGGCAAAACACTTCCTCTCTACACACACTGCAGCACACTAATGGAACAACATTTATCATAGCGCAAGTAAGTAATTACTAAACGGTGCTTTTCTTCCATCCGTCCTTAATCAATCCCTTTCCGCCGAAGAATATATATATCCAGCCATAGATCTCATCTATATTATTAGGTATACACACTACCTTGTAGCACCCGACTAACTAACATATTAAGAAACTAAATCGAAACCCAAACCCAAACCTAACCTTATACTTCACTTAGTTACCTGTAGACTACTAAGTTATTAGAGAAGTAACATGTATGACTCACATCATACATCAACACAACCAACCAACCAACCAACCAACAATCCTCCTACCACATACACAGCCTGTATACTACTAACGCATTACATCTATCGATAACTTATCCATAAGTCATGCATATCGTATCTAGGCCCAAACACAACATACATACATACACACTTACGTAGTGGCAAAAAGCAAAAAGCAAAAAGCAAATCCATTCTAAAACTTTTATAGTAGTAAAAGTATCAAGAAGAAACCCTAAATCTGAACAAGATAACCTCCGATAACTTACGTAACCTATCAATAATACAAATATTTGAAACAATCGAAGCATACATATGCTTGCCTAGTAGTAGTAAGAAAAGAAAAACAAAAGAAGAGGGAAAGAAAAGTAAAAGTGAGGCGAAGTCAAACCCCCATGATTGGTTCAGAGATGTTATGGTTGCACAGTTGAGTAATACTACTTACTACCTACCACTTTCACGCTTACTATTTATTTTGTTTGAAGATGGGGATTGGGGGCTGAGCTGGAAGGATAAGGCAAGCCAGGGGGGGCGGGGAGGGGTGTCAGCTGATGATGGCTATGATGATGATGATGCTGCATGTATGCATGCATGTATGTATGTGTATGTGTATGTGTATGTGGTCAGTGTGTACCTGTCTATTTCACATTTCACATGGGAAATGGGTCTATTGTACTACTTACTTACTCTTGCTTGCTTTGGCTCTGTGCCTGAAGTAACTAACTTACTCACTGCGCATACATAAGTGTTTAATGTGATGTGATGTGGTTGGGTATATTATGGCGTTATTGTATTTAGTTGGTAGCTATTTATCATTATAATACATACTGCACAGCCTCAAATTCACCCCCATCATGCCTGTCTATCTAGTACACCGGCAATAGAACTGACCATAACAGCTGCTTCCCGTTCCCAGCTCCTTTCCAATCCCGAGTCAACCCCCAGTCGCTTCTCAGTTCCCAGGATTGACGTGGGGAGCTGCGAGCCCCGCAGAACGCAGTCCTTGACTTCCTTCTTGATACGGTCCCGGTTGGAGCGCAATGTCCGGGCGGACACGCCGCCGCGGTTGACGATTTCCTGCACACGAGCCGCGAGGTACGATGCGAGTGATCGCCAGAAGTAGGATGGGAGGGAAGACGTGTCAAGAGCATTCAGCAATGGTTGCAGCAGATTGTTCTTGCCACTGGCTTGGACTTGTGGTTCCGGCTGTTCCCCGTTGCGGGTGCCAGCAGCTGCAGCTGCAGCAGGTGCTGCTGGGGGGAAGAGTGGATGCGAGGGTGGACGCAGGTTGTTGAGAATAGCTTCCAGGGCAAAGACATCCTGGCAGCGCGCAGACAGGTCGGAGAGAGTGCGCTCGAGAGTGGGCAACATGGTGAGCGCCCGAGTGAGGTTACTCAGGGACGAGGAAATGGCCGTTTGCATGTATCCTTGCAGGGTTGAGAGGAGCAAGTCTGGCTGGAAGCTTGCTGCGGAGGTGACATTCTTGGGGACCGGCGATAAGAGATACAAGATGTTGACGGCAGAAACGAGGCGTGCTCTGGCATCGCGCGCCTGTTTGTAGCTCATTTGTGACTGGGAGCCAGAGCCTGCACTTGCAATGGTCGACATGGTGAATCGACCGATGGCTTGCTGTGCTCTCGTCTTAACCATGTTCTCGGCGGGAATGACAAGCTCACTGCGCAGCGTTCGGATGACTTTGACACGGTCTAGTCCATGGCCCTCCTCGCCTACTGCCGTCTCAGAGAACATTCGACGTAGACTCACAATCGTGGAGGCGGCCCGTTCCAGCGTCCGGTAGTCATCCTTTGCAGGGGCTGTGGCATCAAGACCCCCGATCTCTGCAAGCTGGCTCTCCAGCTGTCGGCCTAGAGAAAGGCAGCGTGCAACCGCTCGTGCGAGTCGTACAGTAGCCAACGACTTCTCTGCAGCCACCCTGGCCTCATCGGCAGCTTCCCATTTGCGGAGAACTTCCCTTTCCAGCCGCTCATATCCCTGCGTTACCGAAGCGATCTGCTCTTCGGCTTCTTTGAGGATACGGCCCGCTGCGGCGGTCTGGTCGCGCGTGTGCGTCAGTAGGGGGAGGGCAGACTTAGTGGTCAGCGCATGGATGTGGGTGTCGATCTCCTGAAGATCGAATAACACCCGTGAAAGCGGGGTTGAAAGGTCCAGCGGTGTGTCTGTTGCATTGTTGGTGGCTACAACCAAGGAATTGGCAAACGAGGCGGGTGAGAATTCCGGGTCTAGGAAGGCCTCGTAGTCTATGTATGAGGGTTCACCGTCCGTCATGGCTTGTGGCGTCTGATTGGGAGACAATCAGGGAAGCAAACAGGTAAGAAAAGATTGGGAGGAAAGAAAGAAGCAGCGAAATTGGAGAATATGGAACTGAAACTCAAAATGAGAGAGGCTTGGGTATCACCGTATCGAACAAAGCAGATGGATTACAGGCCAGCCGTGTTGTTTCCCCCAGGTGGCCGCTTGACCGCAGGACAATCAAAGCTTAATGTGGCAGAGACTCCCATGTGATAGAGAGGATAGAATGGGGGATGCTGATCCAGCTAGCCATCGTTCAGCTCAAATGCTCGTGAAGACAAGCAGCAGCAGTTGTTGTTCGGGATGCCATGTGTCGCTTAGTGCATTAGTCAGCTGGCATAAGACGGTGTATATTTCCCAAGCATATCCTGCCAGGTCAGTCTATATCTGACATGACAACACACTGCATTCACATTGGTTGATTATATGTCCGATGATGGCAGTATCATCGTCTCTTGATTAGTATTCTCCTACCACATTCCATATCTACATCTACTGACTCGCGTTCTGCCAACATACACTTGATAAGGTTCTGTGTCCCCAAAGTGGTCGATAAACTTTTATCAATCTTAGTTGTATTTTCTCGTTGGACCCATAAAAGACCCACCTATAACACACGAGTCAATCACTGCATGTAACCGATATTTCAGGCACATTTATGGCCATATGACAACCTCGCTATTGCTGTTTTGGTTGTTCTGGAAGATATATCAATAAACAGCAGCTCTGTTCATCAATCAAGGCAAGATGGCCGAGTTGGTCCAAGGCGTCAGGTTAAGGTCCACCTTAATACCCAGCTTCACAGCTTCCTGATCATCGTAAGATGGCGTGGGTTCGAATCCCACTCTTGTCATATCTTTTTGCTTTTTCCACACTTCTGAAGCGGAGAGGTAGTTAGGTTTTTTTTTATCCCTTGTCTATCTATCGATCACATCTATTAGATTCAAGTGGCACGAGGAAACACGTGCTGTTGTAGGAGGCTCTGTGATCTTCGGCAATAGGGTTGTTTTATCTTCAAGGCTGCAGACATTGCAATGAAAATGTAGAATGCACATTACGAACACTTTTGCTAGTAGATACCGTTCCTTATTGCAGAACCCTTCCGTTAGTCTCTTCAACGATCAGCTCGTACTCAGGCTGGAACTCGGTATAGAAGTTGTGCTGCATATCGTCAGCCATCCATCCATCCACTACAGATTCTACAGAAGAGTAACTCACATGGTTCTGCGCAACATCAGCAGTATACTTCGCCACTTCATTCGAGATGATCCTCTTCGGAACGCCGTTCGCGGCCGCTGCTTCAGCCAGCAACTGCGTGTGGCAGGCATTGTCTAAGCTAAAGTAGAGGAAAGCCGCCTCGTCGACAGTTCGGCCCACGGTGAGAAGACTGTTTTCCTTCGTGAGTACATGATGTGTCTAGTGTCATGATATGTATCCGACTCACCCATGGTTCTGCAAAATGCAAGCAATATTGTCCTTTCCTAGGGCACGGGCAATCTGCTCACCCTCCTCCTGCGCAAGGGCAATACCGCCGTGGTCTTCGTAGACACCGACCTTTCCGTAGAGGTTGCATGCATCTATAGATACCAAATCAGACAAACCCTCTCAAGCAGCTAATGTCAAAATGAATCTACTAACCCTGCGTAAGCATCTCAATCGGCTTTCCAAACGCACTCCACGTCTTCCCATGAATGGAATGCGTATGCGCCGCAGCAATAACATCTGGCCGGGCCTTGTGAATTTCAGAGTGGATCATGAATCCGGCCTCATTTATGGGCAGCTGCGCACCACCCTCAGTGACGTAACCCTCTGCGTCAACGAGGACAAGATCCGATGCTTTGATGGTGGAGAAGTGCTTGGCGAAGGGGTTCATCCAGAAGTGATCCTTGAGGATAGGGTCTGTAGCGCATCCCATTAATATTTATCGAGCCGTACTTCTGCAATTGCATTGTGATACTGGAAATAATCACTCACCTCTCATAGAAATATGCCCCGACACACCCTCCCCGTACCCTTTCTTACCGAAGAACCGAAACGCAGCAGCCATATGCTCCTTCATCCACTGCCGCTTAGCCACAGGATCACTAAAAGTCGGAATACCCCGTAGCTTGAGCGTTCCGGCGCGATTCCCTCGCGCCACAGATTGGAACTCCTTGTCGTTGGCGGCATCTTCGATGTGGGCTTTGCTGGTGGAGCTGTTGTTGTCGGCCGCTACGACGACGGGGACGGGGTTAGTGGTGGTTTCGGTGATGGTAGCGGACATGGTGACTAGTAAGTAGTAGAGTACCCTCTCTCTGGTTTGCGATTTGGTTTCTGGAATAGAATGTCCTGGGAAGAAGAGGGGAAGATGAGTTGGCGGGGACAAAGTATAAATACTTAATGTATGAGGGGCACGCTAGATATTAATCTATAGCCTTTATCCTTTAGGCTTATCGCAGCCCCGGAATTGCATGTCAAGTAAAATGATAGGCGCACTGCGCCGAAGGGACGGGGGCTCTGATAGCTTGATAAGAGCTGTGCCCCGGGCCGGGGTCGTGCGCCTTCCGGGGACATGGTTCCATCCATGTCTTGATAGAGTGCACTTGTCCGGATGACAGTACCCGGATGTATATTATTCTTTCCTTGAGGGTGTAAAGTAAAATAACCAAGTATTTGAGTTTAGTAGAGGCTGTGAAGTCTGTGATGTTCAACCTGTGTGTTTTTTGGGGGTTGGATTCATTGCCCATTGCCGTTGCAAGAAAGCGAGTTGTTCAACCACTGCATTGTATGTTGCTAGATCAGTGGATGTGATTATGGTTTAACAAAAAAAACCAGATGTGGTGATGCAGCCAATGCTAAATAGACCAGCAAAACTAGTATGATGGAAGTGGCACAGTCTGCTGACACTTCAACGAACTGGATACTATCTCCGGTTAGGTGTGTCAACAGCAAGATCTCACGATGGGCAATTTATACTTTCCACCTCTTTGCGGGATCTATATCTTCCAGTTATATACAGATATCTTTCTGGGTGTCCTAAATATTTAGTACCTGCAATCGACCTTGTTGTGGAAGGGTCTGCCATTTGGATTAATAGCCGTTGGTAACTGTTAGGGGCTGCAGGCAATCTCTATGGAACGTTTTTTTTTTTGTTTTGACTGTCTTTGTACTGTCCTTGCTAAAATGTCATGGGCCGATTATGTGCTAAAGTAATGCGTTCCCGGATACATATCCGAGATCGTAGCCAGTGCAAAACCAATGTCTTCCAATTCTATGCCTACTCCTTGCCACAGCAAGTTTAATATATATTTCACACAGTAGAAGTTAGAATAACACGCCGAGGAAAATGAGAAAAGAAATAATTGGCATCAATCCAACAACGCCACCAATGCAGGTACCAGCCAGCTAGGGTATACATGAGAAGAGAACAGGAGTAAACGTGAAGATAGACCATAACCACATCCAGCGGGAGTCTCACGCACCCCAAGGTCAAAAAGAGATAATAAAAAGGGTGATAAAGTCATGACAAAGAAAAGGGAAGAAAAACCAGAGAAGACGAGAGAAATCTATACCGCCGCGTCGCCCTTCATTTCCACCATCTCGTACTCATCACCGGCACTGCTACTATCGCGCAAGCCTCGTCCCCTTCCTCTACCCCTCGACAGTGAGAATGACTCCTCTTCGCCAGCACCACTTTGTGTTTCACCACTTCCTGAAGCTGCAGCAGATGCACCACTGCTACTACCTCCGCCGATACCACCAAAACTGATGGGCTGCAATTCCCGCCAACGACAGGCCCAGATGCCCAAGAACGTCATGAACGCGGCACTCGCACCTTGCAAGCCCCACCAGAGCCAATTCGCGGGCACGGAATGCGTGTACAAGGTTGTAGCGATGAGGTGGAGGAAGTGTAGGGTAAGAGCGAAGTCAGGGATAAGCTTGGACCGAGCGACGAGGAGAAGGAGAAATATTGCCCTAGTTGTGGATTTCTTATTAGAATGTGTGCCTTGTACTGTGGAAAGACAAGCTAGAGAACTCACCCAATTCCACTCGTCAACAACCACACCAAGCCAAGCATCCATCCGATCGTAGTATCACCGCGGAGGGCATTCCAGCTGAAGACAAGGTCGAGGGAGAAGGGTGTACCGTAGACGACCGTCGTAAAGAGGATGAGAGCCGTGGCGGTGACATAGTAGGCGACTTGAAGGAGGAGAATCTTCCGGACAATCTTCAGCGGGGGAAGGTCGGTTCGAGAGCCCGCTCGAGGGGCCCGGCGGCGCGGGGGCATGAACTGTTTATTTTATTGTGTATAGGCGATTAGATTTAGGTTGGGTGTGTTGGAGGGCCCCCAAACTGCGGTGGTCGGGAGTTGTGTAGTGTATTTGACCGCAAACTTATCGAACCGAGTGGATGTCTGCGAGACGTCAAGTCTAAATAACGCGTTCCTGAATAACGCCAGGCCGGAAAGAAAATATTCCAGGGCAGAATTCCTCGGGTTGTATGACGTGGTGCTGCAGGGCTGATTGATCGATAATTATCCAGAGCGCCGTTCGGCGATGTTGGAGCCAACTCGACCGGACGGGTTAGCGCCACATGACCGGCGTCCGCGGCGGCGGAGCGGAGCAACCAATGCATCATCTCAATAATTGTCGCTCAATATCCGGACATTCTAGAAACCCCATCTACTCCTCGCACCCCTTCTACACAACCACATACACACCATAACAATGGGCTGGCTTCCCTGGTCCTCCGAATCTACCAACACCGCCTCCGATGGTGGCCGCATAGCTCCCGATCGAACCTCCCGCCAACGATGCTACGAGGGCCGCGACATGTTCTTTTCCTGCCTCGACCGCAATGATATCTTGGATGCAATTAAGGATGACAAGGAGGCGCGCCGGAAGTGTGGAAAGGAGATTGCAGAGTTTGAAACGGCTTGTTCGAGGGCATGGGTATGTGTTTTTTGCTTTCTTCCTCGCGCATTGGTTTTCGCTTGTTGCTGTGGTTCACTGCGGCATGAGATAAGAAGACCATGGCACTTTCGTCACCTAGTATTGAATCTGAAGCTAATTGTATACGTTCCCATGGCAGGTCAAATATTTCAAGGAGAAGCGCGTGATGGAGTATAACCGGGACAAGACAATTGAGCGGATCAAGAAGGAAGATGCCGCCCAGGTTCAAGAATTAAAAGCACAAGGGTGGAACTCTCGGTAAAGAAGATGGAAAAAGAATAGTTGAGGTGATTGCTTGTGATCGGGGAAGTGGCGGCGCCCGTTGAGGGCTTTCTACCTGTACGATATTGATGTACGCTTACCAGGCTTCTAATGACTGCCGGACCGCATGCTACTAGATACTCTCCACTATAGGCTGGAACTGTGGCTTATTAGAATTACCGTGTGCTTGCATTGTGTCTGCCATGCTAGTCACTATGCCTAAGACCCCACAAGAATCCGTGGATAAAAATAGATACAATAATTCCGCATAGAACCCCAACATCGCTGTCCGATGTCTAATTCAATACCTCAAAGCCAACAGAACCATTGCACCCCTATAACGTGTATTCGCTGATTCGATCGAGTGCGCAAGAAATCAACCCAGCAACAGAACCTTCATAATCTTTACCTGCGGTAACGTTCCATATCCGAGTCTCAATCAATCAATCAATCAATCAGTCAACGCCCGACTCCTTAAATTTCGCCAACGACTGCGAAGCCAGAGAGAAAGAGAAAGAGAGGAAAGAGAAAAGACGAAAGAAAACAAGGAATGTCATCAATCATTGCTTCCATTTGCCCAGTTGGTTCATGATGTTCTGCACATGGGGACCAACGGCTGCCTGATTTTGAGGCTGCTGGCCTCCAAGTCCCTTGGCAAGTAACGAAATCAAGTTGGGGTCGGATACCAAAGGAGCATTTGGCGCTTGCAGAGGAAAGGGCGGTGGAGCTAGTGGCTGTTGCGGGTTAGCAGCAACAGGCTGGCGAGTGGCAGCGTTCAGCAGGCTAGCGAGGTCTGCTGCGCCATGCGGCGTGCTGGCACTAGGAAACGGCTGCTGCGCCGTTGGCACGGCTGGCGGCCGTTGCTGGAGCACTCCCAGCAGCGATTGTAGTGTGGGCCCGTCAAGGGAGGTAATCAGGTTGGCAATATTGGGCTGATTGGCGACGGTAGGCAGCGGCGCCTGAGGAGGCACTGTTGCAGCCGGAGCAGGAAGCGGGGGAACCCCAAATGCCGGGTTGGGAGGGAAAGGCGCCGGAGGAGCGCCACGCTGCATCGACTGGGCATGGAACACAATCTCGGCGGCGATACTGGGCTCGACATCGGGGTATTCTAGCAGGAACACTGTCAGCGAACCACAACTCACGCAGGCCTACTGAGGATAATGGCGACTCACCGTTGGAGCGAACATTGTCTGCCCCCCCGCTTCGGTCAAACACCTGCAGGGGAATTTTCCTAGAGAACTGACTAGGGCGCGAAAGCCTCACTACGGCAAGTACGCCCTCCTGGATCTGTCGTTGAACAGCAGCGTTCAGGGGAATTCGGGGTCCAAGGACAAGCACATCCACCCGGAGACCCCGGTTACGGAAAGAGTTCTCCACAAAGAAAATGAAGTTGCTGGCCACGGCATTAGACATTGCATGGATGGTCCACAGAGAAGAAAAAACAAGGACTACTCACCGATCCAATTCCTCGAGCACAAGGATCTGTACTTCCGGTACGTCTCTCGGAGCTCGCCGAGGAACGGGCAGGTCTGCATCACCCTCGTAAGACCCACGACCCCGTGGGCTTGGGGTGCGATATCTGCGATCTCTCGTGTAGGGCGACCGGGAACGCCGCCTCTCGCGTCGATCGTACCGCTCTGGAGTTCTATCCCGAGACCGGTACCCGTCCCTGGCGCGGAATGCACGAGGAGACGGCGAGCGAGGCGGAGGGGGTGGCCGATAGTCGTCACGTCTACGGTGACCGGGCTCATCCCTAAAATCGCTGAATGGCACGCGCCCCGATTCGTACGGACGGTCGTAACGATCAGCCGGGGCTCTCGCACTGCGGCTGCCAGAAGGACCACTCCGGCTGAATTCTGGAGACCTCGAGCGCCTTGGTGGAGGAGCGCGAGAAGGTTCTGCCGGGGCGGCCCCGGGCCTTGTGCTCCTCTGTGGCTTCGAGATTTCGAGATCTGGTGCAACACGGATGAGTCTCAAGCGAGGACATCCATTGTCGAGTGGGTATACTTACGGACTTTGCGTCCTCTAACAACAGCTCCTTGCTCAGCGTCGAGAGCCTGTTTACAGGCAGACGAGTCAAGGAACTGGATGAACCCGTAGGCCTGCTTGATGGATATCTGCGCCAACTTCCCGAACTTGTGGAAGATGTGGAATAAATCGCGCTTTGTCACTCTTTCAGTGGGCAGATTACCTGCGACCTCGGTCAGATCACTGTTTGGGTATTTGTCTTCATACACAGCAAGTAGTACTAACCAACAAACAATCTAGACCCCGGCGGGAACCGGTCCCAAAGACCTTCGGTTACGTAGATCCTCTCGTCATGCAGAAACTTATCGTACTTCTTCTGCACCTCGGGGCCCCATGGCGTGTCTTCATCGGAACCCTTGTTCTGCCGGGCCACTACCCGTTCACCGCCACCCTTTCTGTTATTCACTGGTCCTGGGGAGTCCTGAGTCTCGGAGGTAGTAGTAGATGTAGACTGCTGGAAACTCGGCACGGGGGGAGGGGGCAAAGCGCTGGCACCCGAGGACGTCCCCGGTGCGCCAGCCGCAGCCAATGATGGGAGGCCCAGATTGGACTGATAATTACTCTGCTGGGCGGTGTAGGTGGAGGAAGGGGAGGGCTGTGCATTGGAAGTATTAGGGGGGAGCTGGTGATATGACCGGATGTCATCACTGGCATTGTAGTTGGGATGGATAGAGGGCTTCTCCTGGGGAGGGGGGCGAGGGGGAAGTCCCAGGGAAGATTGGAGCGCCTCGTCACCCGTTCCTGCCTGGGGAAAGGCAGAAACGTCTGTAGACAAAGGCGCTGTCTCTGAGACCGCAGGGGCAGAGGGCGCAGTGGAAGAAGGGGGCAGATTATCGAGGAGGTTCTGAAAATCGACACCATCCTCACCAGTGTTATCATCAGCTTTGCTCTGGGAGTCTAGGCGAGTTTGCGGCGCGGGCTGGGCGGTCCAGCTGGCGACTGCGTGGTCTACCTCGCTCGCACTGGGGGTGTCTTGAGCGGCATGGGAGGAAGAGGGAGGGACATCGGGGGGAGGAGGAGGAGCTAGGAGGGAGGCGGGATCTGATGGAGGCAGAGTGGTTAGAGAAGAGTCTGTTGGAGCGTCCTGGGCTGCGGAGGAGGTACCGCCGGCCATGGGAGGCGCGGGTTGGTCTGATGCAAAGGACGCCTGGGCAGTTGTAGCCGTAGCAGACAGTGCGTGGGCAATCTTGTTCATCGATCCATCCTCCACCTGCGACGAATCCGGGTGGAAGCTACCTTGAGTGTTTGGTGGTTGGCGCGGTGGTGGTTGCTCCGGCACTTGCACGGAGCCAGTAGTTCCCCTCACTTCGCCGGGCCCTGCATATTGGCCACGAAGTGAGGTGAAATCATTGGGATGCGCCTGGGAACTATTGCCAAGGAAGGCCTCGGACTTCTCATAAGTCGACGTGTCGTTAAAAACAGGGTCCATTTGATTCTGAAGCACCGGGATCCTGGCAGGTTCCGCGACGTGTAGCGGACGAGGGCTCTCGGGAGTCAGGGTCTTGCCGCGGAAGTGAAGAGCTTCATCTGGGGAGCTGGGCGTCATGTAGACCAGGGGGGAGAGGTCGATTCATCTACAAGAGCACACAAGAAGGTCCGACAAGAACCACACGGAGATGGGGTTTTTGGAAAATCGACAAAGCTAAGGTGGGGCTATCTTGCAAAATGAACCGGGCCGTTGGAGCCGGGGCGGTAAAAGGGATAGCAGCAACCCAGAGGGAAGTAGTAAAAGAGAGAGGGGTGGGCTTCTTTTTTTCTTTCTTTCTTGTCTTCCGATGGTGTGGATGGGTGATGAAGAGTAAAGAGACGGATGGCGAGAGAGAAGATAAAAAGACAAGCCACACACACACAGTCTCTGACACTGACACCCCTGGATCCTGTCCGAGGATAACACAAGAACCAGTGAGACTTTTTTTTTTGTGAAAGGAGGCGGGGGAGGGAAGGAGAAAGCGCGTAAATAACAAAGCGATAAGCGCAACGGAGAAATGGATGGAGTGAACAGTATAAGAAGAGAACAACCGAGAAGGAAAAAAGAAATAATAGTACAAGGATGGGTGAGCAAAAAGGGGAGAAAGATCAGGAACAAGCCGTTATAGAAAGCTCTAGCAAGATGGAGTCACGGAACAACAAGGAAAGGCGATGAGGAAGTGAGAGATGAGGAGGAGCGCGTATTATTTCATCAATACCCAATGACAATAATCAGGAATTGGAACAGAACGAGGGACAAGCGATCAGCAGACGCAAGATTGCGATGGAGGAGCTAAAATGGTAAATGGAGCAGGGAAGAAACAATGCCTTATCCACCAGCTGGATGATGGATGGCTGGACTGCTTTTTCGCGCTTCACACAGATTCAATCTCTGGTGGTGGAGGGGGGGAGAAGAGAAAGAGGAAAGAGGAAAGGGTGGTGAGAATACTGAGAAGATTCCAGCTCCACGGCGTAACTTGAAAGTTACGGAAAGGTCAAAGTTTGCGCAAGTCAGTACCGGCGCCATGCCTGATCGGGGTGTTTTAGTGCTTCAGCAGGTCCAGCCAGGCGGTGTGACTGGCTGGATCGGACACTAGCGGCGGGTCATGGCGCACCTGGATTTTTTTCTCTTCTGGAACTGGCCGTAGTTGGCATCGGTATCAATTAGTCAAGCCCGACTACTTTTGTACTAAATACGGAGTATCTAGACTAACACAGTAAACTAAAAAACGTTAAGTCCCTCTAAGAATATACCTGGGCCCCATGATGCCATCTTGCCATCTTGCCATCTTGCCATCTTCGGGGCCAGATCCTTGTTGCCTCGCTCCGACGGAGTTCTTCCGTCTGTGGTGACTACACAATAATACTAATAAGTAATAACTAAGTAGGAACTAGCTAGCTTGGGCTAAAGGCTCGGAACACTTGGAAGTCAACTGACTGGTCTGTTATTGTTGTTGTTGTTTGGAATGCCACCTTGGTGTCGGTATCGGAACCATTGTTCATGATTTCAAGCGGTGACCGACCCAGCCTATCCATCTACCTACTTAGTACTCTTTTAGTCTGAAGAATCTAAACATCCATCTTTGATTGATGATCAAGCTACCATCTCACTAAAAATCGCAACCGAGGCCGACCGCTGCTAACTACTACTGAGATTGGTGTCTACCCTACCCGTTGACGAACCATCAGCCCGACCCTGCCGGTCACCCTACTTTTAAATTACCTGACGGGTCCTTGGTGAAAGTAACTCCGTCATATCCGTACTAAAAGCTACTTTACTCTAGCTCGGCTTCTGGAAGATCCTCGTGCTTGTTACTCGTTAGCATACCCATCCTTAATTCAATGTCCCTGTTCCTATCGGTCCTACCTGCAGCTGCGCGGCACCTCCCTTCCCCGCGCACTGCTACTGCTGCTACTACTGCTTTTACTACTGCTGCTGCGAACATGGTGCGAGCGAATCATGTAAGCCGTGGATTAGAATCCATCATGGCACATGCCCGGCTTTCTCTCCCCCGTAATTTTCACCGCGTTTCCCTCGCTTGCTATTATCCCCCTTCGTCCCGCCCCACCGTCGCGACACGAACCTTTGCGTCCAGGCGAGCCGCCGCCATCTCGACTCCCTCGGGCCTAGATTCGGACCACCACCTGACGGCGGCTAGGGAATGGGTCGCTAGGCTCAATTCAAAGGCTATCACCATCCCGCGTGACATCTGCGAGATTTCCTTTAGTCGTTCTAGTGGCCCTGGAGGTCAAAACGTGAACAAGTCGGTTGCCGCCATCGGTCTGAACCAGCCACTCCCATTGATTGGTGACTAACATGTATCTGTTAATGCTACTTCGTATAGGGTGAACTCGAAAGCCACATTACGAGTCCCCCTCAAATCATTACTGCCTTTCGTCCCCCAACTTCTACATGCCCCGCTGCAAGCGTCTCGATACGTCGCGGCGAAATCCCAGTTTCTGGTCATTCAATCGGATGAGTCGCGCAGACAGACCGCCAACGTGGAGGCTTGCTACGATAAGCTCCACCAGCTCCTCAAGAGCATAGCAGAGGACACGATTCCCGGAGAGACTTCGCAAGAACAACGTGACAAGGTACAAAAACTGTATGTATTTCCCCTCTGGGTATTTAGGATCCACTTTGAGGAACATGCGAACCTCGGACTGATCTAGCGCAGAAAGAAAGCTGCAAACGAAGCCCGCATCAAGTCGAAGAAAATGCACAGCAGCAAAAAGAGCAGCCGCCGGGGTAGTTATGACGACTAACAAACATGCTAACTTTTCATCACCTAATAACCAAGAGGACCTTTCCCTCATTCTCATTGCCCATTAAGCTTGCGACGGAAAAAGCCCGATAAACGCCGATGAATGATTTAAACGAAATGTAAGCTCTATGCTTCCTGTACAATGCGTTCCGCGTTACGGATAGTCGCAGAAATCGCCTTTTGGAGAGACGCATCCACACCTTCTGTCTTCTCAAGGGGCTGTAGCCAGCTGATGATCTCCTTGGCGACGTTGGGGTTATTCCGGTACTCCTTGATACGGGCAAATGATGCGCTAAACGCACGTGGGAATTCGGGCGAAGTGACCTGGAGTCCGGCGGTGGGGAATTTGATGTAGCAGATTTGCGTATGGGGGCTGTTGGGCTTGCTCTGCTGCATCACGTCGACCACATGGCCGAGAATCTTGTGCAGACAGGGCAGGTCGTCGAACTCGACTGCCATATCGTAGAATTCATGACCGAAACGGTCGTCATTTTCGAAGTTCTTCATGGCCGTATCGAAAATGGCGAGAGGGATGGCACCAGTCAGGGCAGGGGTGTTGGCAAGGTTGTCCAAAGCGACTTGATCCACACCGCCATCCTCTCCAGCACCGGGGTTGATATCTTCTCCAGTAATCTTGGGCATAGCGATCATGTCGGCATCCATATCATCCTCCTCCGCTGGCTTCGGGGCTTCAATCGACTTATCGAGACCCAAGATTCGCTGTCGAGCAACCAACTTGGCGATATATATCAATTCCAGTTTGGCATAGTGGAGCCACAGCTTCTTCGAACTTTTGCAAAAGCGCAATCCGCGCTGCATGTAACCCCTAGATTGTGTCATATCCGCATGCTCATCCACAGCGTATTGCGCAGCGTATAGCCACAAGTCGACGTTGGCGGGATGTAACCGCAAGGCGTCTGTAAGGATGCTCGAGACCTTTTTGTAGGCCTTTTGTTGTTTTGCGTATTCGAGGTACTGCACCCACAAGCCCACATCTCCATGAAACTTGCGAGTCGCGCGGTCAAGGATGAAAAAGATGCGCCTCTGCCCAGTGTATCCCGCCGACCTGATTCCCAATCGCTTCACCCTCTTCCGGCGCAGGGTGTCTAGGTTCATCTCGTATTGCGCATATCGGACGAAGTCAACGGGCAGGGCGCCACGTGCATTCAGTTTGTGCTCAAAGTCGGACCGTTTCTTGATGATGGCTGTGATTTCCTCCTGCAAGCAGATCAAACGGCATGTCAGTTTTCTAGGCGCATTGAGGTGGGTAGATAGATGATGACCATGAGCGCCATATACCTTAGAGAAGATTTTCTTCCGCTCAAACTCCTTGAGCTCAGGGACCGACTTCTCCAAAAAGAAGCGGGCCTTGTCGGTAGCAGCTGACATGATTGCTCTGGATGGCTTTGGCAAGCAGCGACTTCAGCAGTTCCTTTGCAACCCAGAAATCCAGCCAGAACCAGACGTTAGGCAAAAAAAGTTGTCGGCATCCCGCACAAGATCTCCGCCCAGGGACCTGGCCGCCTGCCTGATCGGGGCTAGTGGCTGGTGCGCGCCGCCCGCGTGTTGCCGAGCCTCGCTCCGAAGGTCATCCCATCATCTGTCTCTCACCTTCAGGGGAATCTTGGGCTTCTCGCTGTTGGGATTCTTTGTACGACCCGCTCTTTCGCTTTTCTTTTCCCTTCTCATTTCATTTCTCTTTTATTGACGCTCATTTCTATCCCCTTTAGTCTGTTTCTTGATAGCTTATTCTTTTAATTGGCCGGAGTCCGTGCTCGGTGCCTCCCTGTGCTGCCATGGCACCCAGATATAAAGATGGGGATGCCGTTGTGGCGGTTAGTGTCTCTGCGCTTCGCGGTTTGTCAAGCTAATTGACCATCTCTCAGGTCAATGGAAAATGGATCTCTTGGGCACATACGGCTGTGGCCTACACGGCCTTCTTCAGTGCCCTGGTAGTGGGAATGTTCTTGCATTTCCACAAGATTGTCCAGAACGAACATTACGGCTACCCTGATGAATGGTTCCCTTCCGTGTCGGCCACCATCGGTGATCGCTATCCTGAACGCTCTTTCTTCCAAGTCTTCATTGCCATCACTTCCGGTCCTCGTTTCGCCCTCGTATTCCTTTGGTACCTCCTGACTGCCCGCCCTAACTCCGCCCTGCCAAAGCTGGTCGCTGGTGTGGGCTTGTTCCGGACATTCACGTGCGGAGGCTGGACTTATGTTACCTCGACTGATGATCACGACTGGCACGATATTTTCATGATCTCGTACCTGGTGGCAACTTTGCCCTGGACTCTCGGTTGCCTCGCCCTCAGCCCGAACAACCGCCGCGCTGTCAAGTACCGCAAGATTCTGGCCAGCCTGTTCTTTGGCACTCTGGTGCCACTGATCTACTACTTCATCCAACACAAAGTGCACAAGGTTCCTGGGGGTAAGATCGCATGGATGCTGCTGCTGCTGCTGTGGATGAGACTGTTAACCTTTGGCCAGCTTACACGAGATACGCCTTCTTCGAGTGGTCGCTTATTTTGTTTGATGTCGGATTCGATGCCGTCACAGCTCTTGACTTTGACGCATTCGAGATTGTTGTGAGGGATGTCAAGGGGGTTAGCAGAGGGTATGTACAATGGCTTCCAAAGTAATGCAGAGCAAGAGAGGAAAATGTACAGTCGCCAAAAGATGGTTGTCGGTATTTGAAAGACGTGATCTAAGATTCGCAAACTTCCAGGCAGTTGAAGACCACTGCGGACTCTGTCCTTGAAAAAGAGTGTGTACAATCTGATTTCCAGACTTAACCTGAACATGGCAGTTAACTCGTAGTCAGGAAGGGCAAGCCTGTCGGAAATACGTTTGGCGAGGGCTTTTTCTGGTCTGAAATCATCGATGCTGCTGCAGACGTCTACAATGGGGTACGCTTCAGATTGGGCTTTCCCTCAAATTATGTGGTTGCTGATAAGTTGTAGTTCGTCTTCTGGACCCTCTGCACTGCCCTTCCCGTTCTCGTCTGGTGTAAGTAGTGCGTTTCTTATCTGCAGGATCGCATGTCTGATTGGATGTAGACTTCCCCCTTTGGCACATGGGCATCTCCGGATATGAGGCAGCCATTGTCTGCTACCTTTCACCTTTGCTCCTCGGCATCCCGGCCATCAAATCTGCGGCAATCAAGAACCCCCGCCTTTTCCACCTGCTCTCGCTGTCCGGACTCCTGGCATATAAGGTGCAAGACCCTGCCAACCGCCTCTTCGTTATGGGCTTCGCCGTTATCTGCAGCTGTGTGACCTGGGCCGCTAGCTTGTATGCGGAGAGAGCGAACAACGTCAGATTGGAGTCCCGTATCCTTTCATGGAGCATCGGTTTGATTCTGTCTAGCGTCGCCAAGTTCGCATGCGCTACCAATAACCCTCTGTGGCCAATCATGCACGCTCAGAACGGTGGATGGAACAAGATTGGACTTGTTCTCGCTGTCCTGGCTGTCCTTCGATCCTACCGTAGACCTGCCACGAGCGGAGGAGATTATCTGCCGTCGAGTGGAAAGAAGGGCTCTCCGTTCCTGGCCGGTCTGGGTGTTGGCGGCTTGATGTTCGCCATGCACTACCTTCTTTCGGACTCTAGTACGATGATGTCTTGGGTCTGGGAGGGTTATCCAGTGCGGGGCCCCATCGCGGCTCCCCACGGTGCCGTCACCATCTTTACCATGGGTGCTGGTCTCGTCTACGGCATCTTTTATCCTTCTGTGGCCGGTAGTTGGACAGCGTTCGGACTTGGCTCTCTGGGTGCCACATTCCTTACCTGCTACAGTCACTGGACCGGATACTATGGCGGTCTTGTCCTCACGTTCTACCTCCTGGCCGTGACTCCCGTTCTCCTTTCCTCGGCCGTTAGACATTCCCCTGCATCTACGTTCGGTGTGGGCTGCGTCTTGTACATTTTCTTGATCCTGTTCCACGTTTGGGTCGTTGCTTACGCCTTTGTTCCTGGTGGATACCTCGTCAGAGAGCACACTGATTGGGTCGTGATCACCATCATGTTGTCCATTGGCGCTGGTGTCTTCTCGGCGGGTGTGTCGAATGCTTCAAGCCCGAAGATCAAGGCCGTTAGCCCTAACAGCAGAAGACAGCGTTCATACTTCATCTACGTCCTCGCGCTCCTGCAACTGCTCTCCGTCTCCATCGCATACCTCCGCTTCCCCACTAATGACTACACTCCTTATCACAAGGATGACAAAGTTGCCACCATGGGCATTTGGACGATCCACTTCGGCCTCGATAACGATATGTGGGCATCTGAGCGGCGCATGCGCGATGTAATCCAGGAGCTTGAGCTTGATGTGATCGGCTTGCTTGAGTCAGACAACCAGCGCATCATCATGGGCAACCGTGATGTTACGCAATTCTTGGCGGACGACCTGGGAATGTACGCGGACTTTGGACCGGGTCCCAACAAGCACACCTGGGGATCTGCCTTGCTCTCCAAATTCCCGATTGTCAACTCCACCCATCACCTACTCCCTTCACCTGTTGGTGAGCTTGCCCCAGCCATCCACGCCACTTTGGACATGTATGGCGAGCTTGTTGATGTCGTGGTCTTCCATTCGGGTCAGGAGGAGGATCCGGAAGACCGTCGTCTGCAAACGGAGTATTTGTCCAACCTGATGGGTTCGTCGTCTCGTCCGATGGTGTTGCTGAGCTACTTGGTCACCAAACCGCTCGAGGGCAACTACAACACTTATGTCAGTGATATCAGTGGTATGAAGGACATTGATCCCACGGACTGGGACCGTTGGTGCGAGTACATTCTGTTTAAGAAGTTGAAGAGAACAGGCTACGCCAGAGTTAGCCGTGACTCGATCACCGACACTGAAATCCAGGTATGCTCCTTTGGCCTATTTCACTTCCACGAATCTTTCCCATCTAACCAGCTATTCTTAATAGGTCGGTAAATTTGTGATTGGCGAGCCGGAACCGGAAAATGAAATGCGTATCCCCGAGGAAATGGTCCCTGAAGGCCGTCGATTCCCTGCATTGTTCCGCGGCCAGGGAGTTCGTGGTCATCGGTACCATGTCTTTGACGAGCCCCGATACTGGCAATGAGTGTTAGCTCTTGATTGAAGGGGCACATCATTCCAGATACCTGTGAGCAACATCGAATGTCTTCCATATACTGTTCTTGAGTATAGTTCATACGACAAGCATACCAGCATTGCGTGGCCAATTGCCTGCGGTGATCATATGTGGTCTTTTCGTTAAATCGTACATAATGTCATCTTTCCCTTATTCTTCTATTCACAGTCGAAATTGTGCAGCAAATCCGCAGCGAAGGTGCACTGTGAAGTGCTATACGGACTACCAGGCTCAGGGACGACGGGATTGCCTGCTGTTGGGTTGTAAACTTATTAGTAGAAGGGGATGGCAGGAGCTGAGGGCCCTGGTCTCGTGCCTGCCTGCCTGACTGCCTGACTGCCTGCCCCTCGTTCTGTGGAACGTACTCCAGGACTGACCTTCACCTTCAGTGCCATCCTTGACTGAGCTGTGGAATGCGAAACCGCCAATTAAGCATGTTTGCTAGGTCGATGTGACATAATCTATATGACAAGGTACACGATGCTGATGGTCTTTACAGCGAAGCTCTGAGCTGGTCAGCTGCAAAGATCATTATTGTTCTCTTGATGGTTCTTCTAGAGCAGGCAACCTTGTCAGAGAATACAGGCCAGTCACATCATAGAGTCAGATTCCAGCTTATACCGGTTGTGTCGAACCATTGTCCTGGACGAGTACCAGCGAGCACGACTACCAAGTACAAAGTATATCACACCATAACAAAATCTTTTGACTAAGATCAACACTCAAGCTACCCACAAAAGAACATTCCAACGACAATAGAAACCAACGCTGAGGCAAGTAAGCACTTTCCATTGCTAGTTTACCAGTCATTCGGTGTCAGCAGCGCTAGGAATCCTCCGAGGAATGTACCGGGTACTTTGACTTTCTTTGTTGATCTTCGTCCCAGTTTTGCCTCCCCTAGATGGAGATTGTTTGATCTTTATCAGGCAACAATGAAAGAAAAGAAGGAAATTTCTTCGTTTATCTTCTAGGGCGGAAATGTGCTGAAAATGTACATTGGAAAGGCCAGGAGGACATCTGACAAGTGTGATGAGGGCCATGGAGAGACGATATTTGACGTCCTTTTTCTGCTGTCCTCGCGGGATTTACCGTCCCTGTACGTTGGATGCTCAGCGAATTGAAAGTGATGGGGCTTTCTCTTCGGACTGAACTAACGGACCGATCAACAGCACAACTTGCGAGAGACTTGCTCCTTCAGGGTGAAAATTGCAGCAAAGTGCATGAGTGCTCTTGCTCAGACTTCGGCGGGTATACGAAGGTTTAGGTAAGTTTAGTGTCGAAATCGATTGGCTTTGTTACTGACAATGCTGACGCCGGCTTATAGATCTTTCACTTTGCAATTTCCGCCTCGTGGGAAGTTCTTGTTGACGCTTTCGGGGACAAAGAAGTGTCCAACAAAGACGGAGGAATACATTGCGTCTGTTCTATTTTTGTTGAATCAATTACTTAGGTCGATATAGGTGAAAGGAAGTTCATTCGAAACCTAGCGTGAATGAACTCCATCGATAATGCAAGTTGTCCCAGATATATTTGACTACCATCGCTCCGCACGGGGTGTCCGGGCTGACCATATTGTTTTCCAAGTCGTCTTGAGCTTACAAGCTTTGGGGCTCGCATTCTGAGAAATTTATACTACGAGGCGTACTTCCAGTGTGTACTCGAGCATTACTTTCTTGTTCAAGCTATCCACATCCACCACTCCATCAACTTGATAAGCAATGTCTGAAGAACCCGGCAAGCGGTTCGAGGATCCGTCGCAAAGAACTTCCCTTGACGCAAACCCACCAGGGGACCAACACGTGGAGTTTGTCAATGCGGAACCTGAAACCCTGTCAAGTGGTACCGGGAGGCTTTCGGCAGGACGGGGGGCCATCCTGGCCAATGCTGCCAGAGAGCTGCAGGATGTCGCTGCTAAACAACCAACTAGCCATACGAGCAATAGCCTCCAACCTCTACATCTGGGGACGCGAAGATCTCGACCATATGGAGAACCAGTCGTCCCGCCAACGTGGACAGAGGGGCCTCAGGGCAAGAAGTATCATCGACACATGCCCGTTAGTGAGATGGTAGCACCGACTCAATCAGGCACAGGTGAAGGCTACAATTATAGTTCATATAAGCGGCCGCCTTTATTCACGCAAGCTCCCAAGCACAAGGTCCATCGGCCAAAGGACCCTACTGAAGGACACAGTCGATACTTAGCAGGAACATTAAAGATGCTATCCATGCATAACAACCCTCCCCAACAGGAAAATGATCCAAACAACGGAATAGACACGCCGCCGGCTGAGTACATGGACCATGAACCACCATACACTGCGGATGATGGTGGAGCCACAAATCAGGGTGAGTGTAAATGGATCTGGATTGTTGTCACTTTACTTGTGTTGAGCATGTTCCTATGCCTCTTTTTGTACGTGTTCAAGGTCATCAGATGATGTAATGTATGTCTTGTCGGAGCGGCCTAAGTCGCTATAAGCAAACCTGTTTGGCGATATATACGAACCATCTCTAAGATATTGCGGCTTACGGGAAGGACTTGCTCACATTCTCCATGTATCCCTTGCGTTATACATTCCGGAACTCTTTCTGATGTGCTAATTCTGGCCATGTGCTTAGCTCGTGGGGGTAATGTGGTAGTCTATGAACAATACGACCCAGACATTCATCTTCACCCGCCCCCTAATCCCCAGGTATATGGATTTGGAGTACCGCAACAAGGTAAAGACACTGTTGACTTCACCTTTTGAAAGTGATGAAATGTCTGGCTGATGAGGAATCTAGTGCCTCCAGGAGGAGCGCCCGACAGGCCATCAAGACAAGGTGCGAAAACTTTAGCGAGGGAAAGACCGAGACAGCTACGGCAAGGTCTAGCAGAACCGCAAGTACTTACTGGGGTATTAGGAGCAACATCGGAACCGAAGAGGCAGCTGCTACAAGAACCGCTTAATGGAAATATACTTCTAGCGATACAAGAGGCTCGAGCCCGCCCACCAGGGTGGACAGGATGGTACAACATAACAGGGCCACATGTCGACGTATACCCGGCTTTGATCGAGCCGGTCGACGAGATAAGAGGACAACAACGTCGGATTGAAGGTGGGGAAGCCGGCTCACGGAGGAGTCGACCTGCTCAGGGACCACCTGCTCAGGGACCGCATGTTCAAGGACCGCATGTTCAAGGACCACCTGCTCAAGGACCACCTGCTCAAGGACCGCCTGCGCAGGGACCGCCTGTTCAGGGACCAATCATTCCAAGAGTAATTTCCAAGGTAAATGACAGTACGCAATACATGCATGATCACTACGATGAATATTACCCTCAAGATATACTTCACCGGATGAGAAATTGGGGCGGAGTGAGCCCAAGCAGTTTGCATTCTGCTCTGGCTCCAGGTCAACTTGAGCAGATACCTAGGGCTCCGCCTCCGCTACCCAAGACGGCGCCAGCACAAGTGGAACCAGCGAAGAAGGGAAAAGCGAAAGGGACGAAGAGGAAGAGGGCTACAGAACCGGAGAATTCGGAACCACCAGCACGCTCAGCATCACCAAGACGCTCAGCGCGCTCAGCACGCGCAGCACAGTCATCAGCATCAGCAGGAGCTGCAGCAGAGGAAGCAGCACCAGCACGCGCAGCAGCACCGAAACGATCGGCAGCACCGAAAAGCTCAGCAGCACCAAAAAGCTCAGCAGCACCAAAAAGCTCAGCAGCACCAAAAAGCTCAGCAGCACCAAAACGCTCAGCAGCACCAAAACGATCGACACGCTCAGTACGGTCATTAGCATCAACGGGGCCTGCAGCAGGGGAAGCAGAACCAGCATCGCCACCGCGGCGAATGCAAACGCGGGCCATGGCCAGGTCCCAGGGGAAAGAGGCTGCAAAAGCGACTAAGAAAGGTTGAGTTGAATGCGACAAAGCATATGTTGCTGTGTATTTATCATGTCTTGTAGCTTTATTCACCATGCTTGTTATTGTTTGTGTCTTTGTATACTTCGACAATAGTACTATATAAATGATCTGCATCATGATTACCCGATAAAGAGAGTAGTGCAAACCGGACAAACAGACCCGTGATGTGATGCTGCTTTGTGTCTGCCGATGTCGACCAAACAATCCGCGGCATCAGCATCCTTCGCACTCAGCCATTGTTTCATATTAGTGAATGCTGCTCAATAGTCTGGATATGTTACGATAATTTTCAACTAGTCGCGCATTGTTCGTCGTTACTCCGTCTGGATCGATGAGCTAAGTGAGAGCGCTTCCCGAGTCTCCGCGACAGCCTCAACTGCAGCTCTCCTGGGATCGCCGCGCACGAGAATCTCCAAGCCAAGATGTTCACCTTTACCCCCCTTCTAGGCGCGCAGTCTGCGTCATCGAAGGCTTCACAATCAATTCTCGAGCTTGATGGAGGAATCAAGATTCTTGTGGACGTCGGTTGGGATGACACCTTTGATCCTCTCGACCTGCAGGAACTTGAAAAGTGAGCTACCACTGCAGTCCTGTATATCTATCGGAGGAGTCAGTCTTCTAATATTATAATGATAGACATGTCCCGACCCTGTCGCTCATTCTTCTAACCCACGCTACACCCGCTCATATCGGTGCCTTTGCCCATTGTTGCAAGGCCTTCCCTCTCCTCACGCAAATCCCCGTCTACGCTACGAGTCCCGTCATTGCGCTCGGTCGCACGTTGCTACAGGATTTATACGCCTCTTCTCCGCTGGCCGCAACATTTCTACCCAAAGCCTCGATCTCCGAGCCCGGCGCTTCTACGGCCGCAGCATCAGCTGCTGCGTCGGTGGCCAAAGGCGATGAAAGCGCCGAAGCTACTCATGCCGGGCGCATCCTCCTCCAACCTCCTACCGCCGAAGAAATCGCCCGGTACTTCTCTTTGATACACCCTTTGAAATACTCACAACCACACCAACCGCTTCCGTCACCATTCTCCCCGCCCCTGAACGGCCTTACGCTGACCGCATACAACGCTGGACACACCGTTGGTGGTACGATATGGCATGTACAACATGGCATGGAGTCAATTGTCTATGCGGTCGACTGGAACCAAGCTCGAGAGAGCGTCGTCGCGGGCGCTGCCTGGTTTGGAGGTTCCGGTGCTAGTGGAACGGAGGTCATTGAGCAGCTGCGCAAACCTACGGCGCTGGTATGCAGTACCAGGGGAGGCGAACGGTTTGCATTGCCCGGAGGCAGGAAGAAACGGGATGACTTGCTGCTGGACATGATTCGGAGCACCATCGCCAAGGGTGGTACAGTGCTGATTCCTACGGATACTAGCGCTCGTGTGCTGGAGTTGGCTTATGCACTGGAACATGCCTGGCGCGATGCGGCAGGCTCTGGCCAGGGTGACGATGTACTGAAGGGGGCCGGACTATACCTGGCCGGCCGCAAAGCTAATACTACGATGCGACTGGCAAGGAGTATGCTGGAGTGGATGGACGAGAATATCGTGCGAGAGTTTGAGGCGGCCGAGGGTGTGGATGCAGCGACTGGTCAATCAAATACAGAAGGCCAACGTGCAGGTCAGAATCAGGGCAAAGCAGAAGGGAAGGGCGTGGGGCCTTTTACATTCAAACATCTCCGAATCTTGGAACGCAAAAAGCGATTAGAGAAGATTCTGTCCGACCAGAAGCCCAAGGTCATCCTGGCTTCCGATACGTCTCTGGACTGGGGATTCGCAAAGGACTCTCTTCGTTTGGTGGCGGAAGGTGCCAACAACCTGCTGCTGTTGACGGAGCCTCTGCACAAGGAGAGGATCACGGAGGGCCAGGAAAGCAGCCACAGGAAGACGCTCGGCAGTATGATCTGGCAGTGGTATGAAGAACGGAAGGATGGCGTCGCTCTGGAAAAGGCATCGGATGGTGAGATGCTGGAACAGGTGCACAGCGGAGGCCGGGACCTCTCCTGGACGGATGTGCGACGTGCGCCTTTGGACGCAGGCGAGCAGTTGCTCTACCAGCAGTATCTGGCCACGAAACGACAACTTCAAGATACCTCACAAGCAAGAGGACAAGAAAATCTTGACAATGCCGCCGACGCCCTCGATGACCGGTCAAGCTCTACATCAGAAGACTCGGAGACGGAACAGCAGGGTCGCGTCCTGAACTTCTCGACCTCATTGGCACACTCCAACCGAAACAAGCTCGGCCTCAGCGATGAAGACCTTGGCGTCAACATTCTCCTACGACGCAAGAATGTCTACGACTACGATGTACGAGGCAAGAAAGGTCGCGAGCGCATGTTCCCGTATGTGGCACCGCGGAAGAAGGGGGACGAGTATGGCGAGTTCATCCGGCCTGAGGAGTACCTCCGTGCCGAGGAACGTGAGGAGGCCGACATGCAGCAGCGCCGGACCGACTCCCAGACCAAGCTGGGACAGAAACGTCGCTGGGACGAAACAGCACCCCACGGACGTCGACTGTCGGGCAGTGGCGCCAAACGGCAAGCGCTTGGCGATGCGCAGAAACGGGATGTCAGCACTGCTGACGAACTGAGCCTCGCCGAAGACGGGGAAGTGGATGCCGCGGTATCCTCCGAGGATGAGGTGGAAGGACAGAGCTTCGAAGGGCCAGCGAAGGCAATATATGAAAAGGCTACACTGACAATAAATGCACGGCTGGCATACGTGGACTTTACGGGACTACACGACAAGCGCAGTCTGGAGATGCTCATCCCGCTCATCCAGCCCCGGAAGTTGATCCTGGTTGGTGGCATGAAACAGGAGACGACCGCATTGGCGAGCGAATGCCAGAAGCTCCTGGCAGCCAAATCCGGAATGGACGTTTCGGCCGCAGACTCGGCAGTCATCTTCACGCCAGTCAACGGCGAAGTTGTTGACGCCAGCGTCGACACCAACGCATGGATGGTCAAGTTGAGCAACAACCTGGTCCGGCGTTTGAAGTGGCAGCACGTACGCAGCCTGGGAGTGGTTACGCTGACGGCGCAGTTGCGGGGGCCGGAACAGGCCGTCCTGGACGATTCTACAGAAGAGAACCCCAGCAAGAAGCCGAAACTGTTGGAGGAGGAGAAGAAGGAAGAAGGAGGTAGCACCGAGGTCGCGACGAACGCACCACCAGAGGGGGCCAAACCATCAGCCGACAAGTCCGAGGTATACCCACTGCTGGATGTGCTGCCGGTCAACATGGCGGCGGGGACGCGGTCCATGACCCGGCCGCTCCATGTGGGCGACCTGCGGCTGGCAGATTTGCGCAAGATCATGCAAGGGGCCGGACATACGGCAGAATTCAGGGGCGAGGGAACGCTCCTTATCGATGGGATGGTGGCAGTGCGGAAGTCGGCGACGGGGCGGATTGAGATTGAAGCATCCGCGCAGTCTGCGGCGTCGACGAATCTAGGACGAGGAGGAGGGAGCTTCTTGGCTGTGAAGCAGAAGATTTATGAAGGATTGGCTGTTGTGTCGGGGAGTTAGGTGCTGCCACGGACCGGTTCGTCTGATGTTGGATTATACCAACCCAGTAGATTAAACAAGACATAAAATATCCGTTTACCCACTTACCTATGTATGAACTGTAGTATATGATGCATGCCATGACTTTGGCCCGTCAGCCGAATCCTCCGAATAGCACTGTGTAATTTAGCCCCATTAGCTGAGCGTGCAGGTAGTATACTACTGTAAGTCAGCATTATAACTCAATGGCACTTGTCACATCATCGTAGTGGTATAGTAGTTGATCATTAAATCGTGCACTAATACACATCTATCTACTATAAGTATACTATAAATGGACACGTCTCAGTCCCATCAAGCCACATTCTTAACTACTGTATGTTATTTACCCCTTTTCCTGCCCCAGATCCCGAAGGTGAATCAATAGTCGCGGGAGGGTGTTTCTGGAAGGGCTAGAACTATGATCTAGGGAAGGTCAGGCCAGGAGGCGGGAACTAGTTGTGTCAGATGGTGATAGTGTAGTTTGTGTGGGAGTCCAGATTGTATGTGTAGATATTTTTGGTAGATGGTATATGGTATATGCTAGTGAGTACATAGGTGGGTAGGGTTTTGGGATGAGTGAATCAGGGGGAGTATTATTATTATTATTATTATCTAATTAGTCTAGATTGGTGTGGTATACTAATGAAGATTTGTCGAGCATGTTCCTGGAATGATTAATTGAATGTGAGAGTATTGTTAGTGATTACTTTCAACCTGAGGTATCTATCTATCCATCTATCCATCTACCTAGTAACTAAGTGTCTAGTAAGATTACTCACAATGAGATCAATCTGTCTCAGATGTCAGCTTTCAATCCCTTAGTATTGGAAGTGGAACCTGCCATTCCTTGATTGCGAGCAGCGATACTTGTCTTACAGGTACACAGCAAGTACCCCGTAAACTTTGTAGAAACAACCAAATCGTGATCCCAACCACCGCCTTAGAGTAGTAATCAATCAATCCATTTATCCGGGGATATCCATCAAGGCAACAATAAACGAGGAGAAGAAGAGGAGGAGGCAAGCAGGGTTCCCCTCATCACGGCGGCATTCTCTCGGATCCGTCGGATAATCTCATCCATTCTATTCCCCCACCACAACCATCACCCACCACTTGCAATAGTAACTGGAAAGACCATTTTATCCAGAGCACCACACATACACACACACCAACCACCAAAGCAACTTGAAGTGATAGACAAGATACGAAGTACTACTACTAGGAGGAGGGGTAAATTGTGAAACACATCCAAAACACACCTACCTAACCCCCACTCACCATCAGCACCATCAGCAGTTGGTTTAACCCACCACGTCAACCATCAAACATACACACTCTCGTTGGCTGAATAAGCACAATGGGTTAAGGATAACCATGACATACGTAA